AAATCTCAATAAAGCACCCATAGAATGGCTACTTTTAAGCAATTTTATTTCCTGGTAAGCCCTCCAAGAAAAATTAATTGCAAAGTGTATCCCTAGGTAAGTAAATGAGGTGACTTCCACTTAAGGAAGTTTAGCCAGAAGCCAATTAGTTGTTGAAAGACATCTGCCGAAAAACATAGTTTGGGCTTTGATGTCATTTATGTTAGGTAATGCTGACAGTAGTTAAATAGCGGAACCAGATTTTATGTGAAGGGTCTTCCTAGTCAGACTAATAAAGCCATACATTCTTTTGTCACTCTCTAGAAGAGAAGTACAAAATACATTTTATATTTTCTGAAACAACCAATTTATAATATTAATGTTCATAGGGTCAATCAAAATGAAGCTTTTATTTTGGGCCTGCATTGTGTGTGTCGCTTCTGCAAGGGTAAGCAAATGGACTTTTTAAATTACAGCAATAATATACCCATCAAGTAATTATAGACAGGGATTCGTGTTAATGGTATAAATTATTATAGTGTTGATAATGATGCAGCAGAGAGATATGTTAATGGACATGTGGTTTGCTGTGCCAAACTTTTCAAAAGAAATTTTTAAAAATCTGAATTTAAAAAGTTGTGTAATCTGAAAATGAATAAACAGCAAGGCAAGAAGTGAATTCAGAGATGCAGTGGGCTGGAGAAAGATAAAATTAAAGGGAACCAGAATTCCATGAAGATGATCTTCACTGGTTATGTCTTCAAATTATAGAAAACTGGATTAGGCTTCCTCTGGCAGTGAAGTCCCACTGCTGGAAGTATTTATGTAGAGTCACAAGGAATACTTGATGGAGTTAAAGTAAATGGACTTAATGACTACCAGTGTATTATAAATAGATGAGCCTCTAATGTAAGAAATAGCTGATGGAAAATTCTTAATCCTAGCCAACAAGTGAGCTAAATATCCTCTTTTGGAAAAAGAGAAAATTATGACATCTACTCCATAGGATGGCTTTGAAGATTAAATATGATAATTATATAAAGTACTTAACAGAGCACCTATGATATAGTAGGAGCTCAAATGCTACTTGATATTAACTATTATTATCAGATTATTGACTGATACTACTAATTATCACCCTGTGAAAATTTCAAGATATTTTCCAATCTCCTAAAATCACCTGAATTAAACTCTAATTGTTAAAATAGTAAATGATGAGTTTCCTACACTATCTTGTCATTCTTATCTCATACTATGTTGTATAATCTGTGAGAAATTCATAAAAGATATTGAAGCTTAACTGGAAAACAACTGGACATATGTTCCTTCTGCAACTGTTAAGAGGTGGCTACAAACCACATACATACAGACAAACACACACACAAATGCAAACAAAACCTGAAAGGTGAAAGAGAACAGCAAAACAAGATATATGAAAAAGACTGAATGATTTTTCAGATGGTAAGATTTATGTACATGTAGAAAATTACAAACCGAAATCTATCAGCCAATTTAAAATTTCCTGAGACAATGGTCTATGTTAAAAAATATAATGATGATAACAATAATAAACAACTAATTTATACTAGCGATTTATATTTCAAGAAGAAATTAACTATATTAATAATACAGTTGTACAAATTCTTCAGTAATAAAATCTGGGTACAGATGTTTTCAAATGAATAACCATAGTCAATTAATATTTTTCCTTTTCTTTTAGAAGGGTTTCTACTTCATTGATGAGGTAAAACTTTTTTTTCATCTGTGTATAAATGTATTTGTTTTTACCTTAAAGTATATTTTACATTTTAAAACTCTCTGATTTTTTACAAGGCAATTTTGTGACAACTATTGCTGTTAAAATATTAATGCTATTAATCTCTTCTTATTTGATAGAAAAATATTTGTGGAGTATAAATATATTTGTGTTAAACATATTTACTGTAAGGTCTTTATTTCTTTTAAATGAGCAGAAGCATTAAGTAAGTGTACTCCCTTTAGAGTGTGATAAAATTTTTGCTATACCCAGGTTTCCTCCTCATGCCTCTATGAAATTTTATGACAATACTGTACTAAGTTTACTTCAGCAAACTAAGAGATTAATCTGGGAAGGCTTTGCCTGTATGAAAGATTAGAGCAGAAGAAAGCATGACCTAGGAATTACCAGCAGGAGGAGTATGTCCCAAAATGTTAAATGACTTCTGTGCAGCAAATACTCATAAATTATCACGACGCAGGACACTAAAACATTCATCACTTGACCTATATTAGAATTTTTTTTTTAGTTCTTTGTCATTTTTGCCTCAATTCTGATGACAGGAGCATGCTAAGAAAATGATACTGGTATCTATCCACAAGCATGCAGTAGATAAACATGACAATCTAGCAAGGAAAGGCCAAGAGATATGATCTGGATGTGTGCAGTTTGAACCAAATACCATTAGATATATGGAGAAGTAGTAGAAAGGTTTTGAAAATAATTTTTTAAATGAAAACAATGAGATAATACTTTGAATTTCTTATAAGAGTTAAGATTTTAATCATAAGAATCTAGGGCTCTCTGGTCACATTATGAATCATTGACATTTGTCTCTGTGAACACTCTGGAACATGTATCACTTGTGTATTATGCATCATACCTTCAGGTGACAACATGATCCAGGAGCAAATATTTTATCTCAGTAATTCAGGAAACCAACCTAAAATTGGAGAGAATATGATACACAATATTAAATTTTAATGAAGAAGCTTGATAGCTGGGAAACAGTAACCCAGACACAAGCAAAGAAACCTTCTCTGTTCTTTCCAATACCTAAGATCTAGCATGTGGACAGCACAGAGGAGGCACTCTATTTTTTTTTTAATTCTTGAAAATCTATCAAGAAAAACAAAATATCCCAAAGCTACTGAGGAAAAATCTACATTCATTGAGAAATTATATTGCAAAGCCTTGTTTAGTCCCTAGGGATTTTGTGATAAACCTAAATGATGATCTAATGTAAATATCTGGTGTAAATAAGTCACTAGCCAAAGAATTAATCAAAACACTTGGTTCCCTGTACCTAAGTATTTGTAAATAGTTATGAACAAGAAAATTTAAAGAGAGTGTAGAAACACTGGAACCAGTAGGACATTAAAATCAGTCATTGCTGATCTACTTTGTAATAAGGTATTTAGAATAACAGGACTGGGTCTACACAGTCATAGGAAAGCAAGGCAAACAACTATATTGCTTAAGAAAGAAAATTCTACGTTACTCACAGAGTTTTGGCAGTTATAGTCACTCGGAACGCCAGTAGAGATCTAAAGAAAGATTTTTTTCAGGGGCCTGAAACTTAAAACCAACTTTGTTTTCTTTGTTGTTTTAGAATTTTGTCTCATCCAGTGGAGAGGTAAAATATATCTATATTTGTTTATACTTTAAGAAATATAAATATATTTTAAGAAATATATTTTATATTATTAATTTTCATTTTAAAATAGCATTTTCTGTCTAATAACATTAAATAATTCAGTATTATTAAATTTTTCCCTGAAAAGCTAAATAATTTCATAACATGTTATCTTTTCTTGCTGTGATGGTTGCATTTAAAAATGCATCTATAAGGATGAGCATATTTATATTTACACATATTGTAATTTTTTATTCATATTGATATCCTGCCCAATTTCACTGCCACTTCATTAGGTAAATACTTTTAAATGAAAATTATATAAATAAAGTTTTATATCATAGAAATGTATTGCTGATTAAAAAAAGGCAGCATTTTCCAACAAATATGAAAATTGGGTCTATGTTTATCAATAGTGCATGTTACTGACAGGTTAACTTGGAATACATGAAAAGAAAATAGCTCCATCAACCAGTTACCATTAAAATAAACATATGATAAGAAATATTAAATATGGCTTATTATATTTTAAATGATATTTATGTTATATAAATTTTTACTTTCTTGGATTATAATTGGGCTATGCAATGAATCAAAGAATCTAGAGTCTTAATATATAAACAAATACATACCAAATTTGCTCAGAAAACTGACAAAGTTATAATAGGAAATAAAACTTCATGTGTGTGAGACTAAGAAATGTCTTAATTTTCTATAAATTCTTACATAAGGTTGTGACCTTTGAGCTCCCTGACAGTTTTACATACATGTAATAGACAAAGCTAGAGAAATTAAAGGAAAATGAGGAGGTCCTTCTACCAAAAAATAATCATGTGAAATGTAATAGTAAATGCATTAGTAATATTTAGAATTTTCTCATTTCAAACACTATCGGGAAAATTAAATATGAAAAGCCCATAGTATATATTGTGAAATGATCATCACAATTAGTTAACATCCATCACCACGTATAGTTACACTTTTTTCTCGTGATGAAAACTTTTAAGATCTGCACTCTTAGCAACTGTTAAACACACAATATGGTATTGTTAACCATAGCCAATTATATCTCAATCGGAAAAAAAAAAAAAAAAGCCAGCAGTCATCCACATCCAGTCTGCTTTCCTTCTTAATAACAATTTAAGATGCCTAGCCTTGAAGGAGTAGAAGCTTTGAGGAAGGGTGGGAGGAATTCAGAAGGACAGCTAAAAAAGGTATAACTAAGTGAATGCACCCTTGGGGGCACTTTAGAGACTCAGTGGGTCCTGAGGGCATCCAGCTAGGCATGCTGTGCAGATAAAGAGGCTTGGAAGGACTGATCCTACACTGTGCATCTTCTTTTCTTCTATTGTTGTCCTGGCCTAGCTGGCATATTGTGCAGTTTATAACACTCCAAGTCACTGACACACAAAATATTTCCTTTTACATTGAAGTTTATTCCATCTTCTTCAGAAATGATTAGTTCTTATTTTGTAAGTGATGCAAGCACATTAGCCTTGAGAATGAGACTAAATTGGAATTCTTTAAAAAATAACCTTTACTCATTGTACATCATCACAGTCATAACATAAGTAATGTAGCTATAAGATAGAGGTAATAACTTTAACTGACTTCTTTGCTCTTGTTTAGGATTACAGCGGCAATCCTGACAGTCCTTACCCAGTTAACCCAACTCTGAATATTCCTTATCCCATACCAGACAGTGATTTCACTCCTCCTGTCTATCCTACAAGGAATAAGTTCCCCAATTACCCTGGGAATCCTGACCGTGATGCCGGGGTGCCCTCATATCCCTGGGTTCTCACTGCTCCTGGAGCCCCCCTCTACCACATTCCTAGTTTTCCCATACCTTCTTGGTTGTCCCATCATCCTCCCCCTCCTTGGGCTTTCCGCCTTCTTCCTCCCTCAAAAAGACCTATGGGACCTTATTTCCCACCTGATACAGCTGCACCTACTGCAGCCGATCCATATGTACCTAAGTCTCTTGCCCCACCTACTACAAACCCACCTTCTATCCCAGAGACTGAGCCACCTGCTGTGACAGAGCCTGATGAAGCAGAAATTGCAGCAGCTGCCCCAGGACCTCAGTCCTCTATTTCTCTTGACCAGGTGGGTTGCCTCAGTCTTACTCCTGTGATGCATGAGAGGTGTAGGAGCAGGAAAGAAACAGTCTCTCCACAAGCAAATATATACTGTATCAGCTGAAATATTTTGTACAGCTTTACTGAGACACAATGACATACCAATACTGAAAGTGTATACTTTGGTAAGTTTTGACATATTTATACACACCCATGAAAAAAATCACCAGGATAATGAATATATCCACCACAGCCAGAAGGTTCCTCCTGTTTTTTTTTTAATATTCCCACCCTCCCCTTTTTTCCTGTCCTTGATCTATTTTCTGTCAGTACAGATTGGTTTGCATTTTCCAGAATTTTATATAGGTAGAATCATACTGTATATACTTTTTTGTGTGTGGTTTCTTTCACTCAGCACAATCATTTTGAGATTTATCCATGTAGTTATGCATATCAATAGTTCAGTCTTTTTATTTTTTTGGAAAGTAGTATTAGATTATATGGATGTATCATAAATTTTTACCCATTTATTTGCTGATGAACATTTTAATTTCCAAACTTGATGCCATTTATTTATATCCAATTATACATTGAATACTGTACTGGCTAAAATTGCAATATTCAATAAAAGGGATTAGATGGACAGCCCTGCCTTGTTTCTGACATTAGGGGAAAGTTTTATTTTAGGATACCATTAGGTTACTGTGATTTTCACATTTAGTAAACAGGAACAGAGAAACATTTTGATCTAAAGCTAATTTTTCCCATTGCAGAGATCAAACTATTCTGAGTGCCCTGTGAAATCTGAGCTTTTTTTACTCTGGCTTGTGTGATCAAAAACTTTTTCCTGCTCTGTGCGAGTGCTAGATATTGTTCCATTTTGTCCTTTCAGGTGGTTCTTTACCTGACCTGAGGTAGTATCTTCATATGAATAATATATACTTGGTTGAAAACCTTAGGATAACATATTTATTTATTTATTATTTTATTTATTTATATTAAACTATAGTTGATTTATGATATATTAGTTTTAGGTATACATCATAGTGATTTGATATTTTTATAGATTATACTCCATATACACTAATATGTATAAAATAGATAACTAATAAGAAAAAAAAGTTGAAAGAAAAAAAAGAGTTATTACAAAACAGTGGCTCTATTTCCCTGTGCTGTACAATATATTTTTGTTGCTTATCTATTTTATACATAGGAGCTTATATCTCCTAATCCCATACCCCTATCTTGCCCCTCCTAGCTTCCTTCTCCCCATTGATAACCACTAGTTTCTTCTCTATAATTGTAAGTCTTTTTCTGTTTTGTTATATACATTCGTTTTAATTTTTAGATCCCATATATAAGTGATAACATAGAGTATTTGTCTTTCTCTGTCTGACTTATTTCACTAAGCATAATACTCCTACATCCATTCACGTTGTTGCAGATGGGAGAATTTCATTCTTGATTATGGCTGAGTAATATTCAATTGTGTGTGTGTATATGTATATATATCACATCTTTATCCATTCATCTATTGATGGACACATGCATTGTTTTCATATCTTGGCTATTGTAAATAATGTTGCTATGAACATAGGCTAACATTTTTAGATCTTTGTATCTATGTCTTTGTCCCCCGTTTTCCTTCAGATTCTCTGCCCTGTGAATTTCAGCTATCTTGGTCTTCCTGGGCACCCACGTCCATCTCCCTTCACTAAGTCCTGGAAACAATCCAGGCAGTAAGATAGGACAATCATAGGGTTCATCTCCTTTGCTTCCTGTCTCTTAGGGATTGGTGTTCTTCATAACTTGATGTTTAGATCTTGAGAAACTGTTGCTTCTCATATTTTTGTTATTTTTAAAATTTGTTTCAGGCAGTTTATCTTACTCATATTGACCTAAAGAATAGTTCTCTGAACTTTTTTAAAACAATGATTTTTTGAAAAATATTTAGAAACACTTTGTCCCCAAGTTTTAGTAAATGTGCCTATTTTATAAAAGGGAAAGTGGGATTCTAAAGTACTTCAAAGATACTCTGAACCCTGGGCACAGGCTGAAAACAAATGAGAGCTTAAACCCAACAGTGAATAATTTCTAAAGTATATTGTTACTAATTGAATACTCCTAGTAGTTGTTTCCTAGAAGGGGGTACCAACTTTTCTTCTTGTTCCCTTGTTCTGATAGGGATCAGAATCAAGTTAAATGGTTGCTTGGAACTGCTCCAGAGAAGTCTGAAGAGCCATCATTATTCTCCAATACTCCACACATTAACATGTTTCTTCAGTAGGTTTCTTTGACACAAAGCACTCTCCTTCTACCAGTATATACATACTTGTAGTTCATGACTCACACGAAGGTAGAGAGAAATTTAAGAAAGTATGGATAAAAAGAAATTGATAAAAAAGGGCCTTGAAAACACTGCTAAATACCTTAGACTGTTTCCTGTAGCCAAAGGAATTTATAAAGGACCTTCATTGGGTAATTTGACCAGTTCTTTGTTTCCAAAAGCTAAGTCTGATGGCTTAGAGTATTCTAAATATGAGTTATGAAGAAATCACCAGGGCACAACTTCTTAAGGAATAAAGATTACCCAGAAAAGATAGGTCTAATACTAGGAAATGAAGTACATTTTATCATTTTGTTGTTTGTTTTGTTTTGTTTTTTAGGTAAAGAAATGAAATTTTCAAGAGAAGAGAGTGCCATGCATTTGTTTCTGTAAGTCATACATGATCATGAGACTTTAAAATCATGAATTATATAGATGTCATCTTCTGAACCCACTTTTGAATATATTTTTACTATATGAAATTCAGAAAGTGGGGTATGGAGAGGTACTGCCAGTCTGTGCCTAAGATCTCTGAAATTAGGAACACATACCCTGTGTAAGAAACTCAGGCAACTTTTGGACAGTTCTTCCTGACATTGATCCATATGGATTATGACTTGAATATCCTAAAATAATAGAGGTCAATATAGGGAAGAAACTTCCATGGGGGAAGGGGGTTGAGTTATGGGTGAAAGAAACCATTGTTAAAGTTCTCACAGATCATTTTCTATGTTATTTATTCAACTGCCATTCTTACCCCACACTGAGAACCACTGCTTTAGAAAACAAATAAACGAAGAGACAATTTAGATCTCAAATCTCCTGTCCCCACCTCCTCCCCTGCACCAGCCTTGCCTCCCACTTGTCATTACACACTGTCCTGGGAAGAAAGGCACTGGTCAACTAGCTCATTTGTTACACTCATTCCAAGCTCTTATTCCTTTATCCCTTTGTAAAGCTGTTCCAATTTTACTGTTATAAACATTCACTGGACAGGAAAATGGCAAGGCTTTATTTGACTGTCAGCCAAATCAGAATTTCTACTGAGGTGACATCAGTACTTAAAGTAGAATTGAAGACCAAACTTGATAGCCTTTAGTATTGTTGATGATGCCTCTTAACAGCAGCTTTGCCAAGGAAATTAAAAGGCTTAAATGTTGAGTTAAACCCTGTCTACTGCTATATTCTTTGGGTTTTTTATTTGTTTTACTCTTATATAAGATAAAAGGATATTAATTAGGGAATTAGTTCAAGATATTATGTAAATTTAACAATTTCCAATAAGTATTTGCATTTCATTCCTTATTATATTAATTGCTTAATTCACAACAGATAAAGGAAAGAGTACTACTTTTCTGGGAAACGTCTCTTAAGGCAGAGAAGGAATTCTACTTCAAGTCATTCAGTATTAGGAGACTGTTGATCTGAACCCAACACTCATGCACAAAAAAGTTCTGTATAATATATACATATGTGCAAATAAATCATAGCATTGAATTAACATTGCACTTTTAAATTGTTACAAGAATGCATAATATCTACAAGAAGATAGAGGAAAACAAGCTTGATTCTCTTAAATGTGCCGTTGAATTGTAGCATGAATTTGTACATGACCATTCAATATAGTCCCTTAACATTAAAATCATAAAGCAGCAAAAGCAATTCTCTATAATACAAGTCATTTGGTACGTTTTACACAAAACTAATATGTTTTTTTTTCCCTTTTCAGGAATAACTGGTGGAGAAATCAGTGAAAGCTAGAAAAATTTATTTTCCTTTCCAAAGACTACCATTCTGTTATATTAAAAATATACTTCAATAAAAAAATAAAATTTTAAAAAATCAGTCTGACCATATTTGTTGGTTTGTGATATTTTTTCATTGGACTGAATTCATATAGAAATGAAGTTTACGGTGTATTATTTTTCCAATTCACAATTTTAAAAGATTACTTCCTAAATATCTACATAATAATTGTCAGAGATTTAAACATGTGATGGCAATATGCGCCTTTCTTTTGAACAAACCCCATCTAAAAAATACAACACAGAAGAGCTTCAAGATGGCGGAAGAGTTAGATACGGAGATCACCTTCCTCTCCACAAAAACACTTACACGTGGAACAACTCCTACAGAACACCTACTGAATGCTGGCAGAAGACCTCAGACCTCCCAAAAGGCAAGAAACTCCCCACGTACCTGGGTAGGGCAAAAGAAAAAACAGAGACAAAAGAATAGGGACAGGACCTGCACCAGTGGGAGGGGGCCATGAAGGAGGAAAGGTTTCCACACACTAGGAAGCCCCTTCACGGGCGGAGACTGCGGGTGGCGGAGGGAGAAAGCTTCGGAGCCACAGAGGAGAGCACAGCAACAAGGGTGCGGAGGGCAAAGCGGAGAGATTCCCGCACAGAGGATCGGTGCCGACCAGCACTCACCAGCCCGAGAGGCTTGTCTGCTCACCCGCCGGGACAGGTGGGGGCTGGGAGCTGAGGCTCAGGCTTCAGAGGTCAGATCCCAGGGAGAGGACTGGGGCTGGCTGCGTGAACACAGCCTGAAGGGGGCTAGTGTGCTACGGTTAGCCGGGAGGGAGTCTGGGAAAAAGTGTGGAGCTGCCGAAGAGGCAAGAGACTTTTTCTTGCCTTGTTGTTTCCTGGTGCATGAGGAGAGGGGATTAAGGGCGCTGCTTAAAGGAGCTCCAGAGAAGGGTGCGAGCTGCGGCTATCAGCGCAGACCCCAGAGACAGGCATGAGACGCTAAAGCTGCTGCCACAGTCACCAAGAAGCCTGTGTGCGAGCATTAGGTCACTGTACACACCTCCCCTCCCGGGAGCCTGTGCAGCCCGTCACTGCCAGGGTCCCGAGATCCAGGGACAACTTCCCCGGGACAACACATGGTGCGCCTCAGGCTGGTGCAACGTCACGCCAGCCTCTGCTGCCGCAGGCTCACCCCGCATCCGTACCGCTCCCTCCCCCAGGCCAGAGTGAGCCAGAGCCCCCGAAACAGCTGCTCCTTTAACCCCGTCCTGTCTGAGCGAAGAACAGACGCCCTCAGGTGACCTACATACAGAGGCGGGTCCAAATCCAAAGCTGAACCCCAGGAGCTGTGCAAACAAAGAAGAGAAAGGGAAATCTTGCCCAGCGGCCTCAGGAGCCACAGATTAAATCTCCACAATCAACTTGATGTACCCTGCATCTGTGGAATACCTGAATAGACAACGAATCATCCCAAACTGAGGAGGTGGACTTTGGGAATGACGATATATATATATATTTTTCACTTTTTCTCTTTTTGTGAGTGTGTATGTATATGCTTCTGTGTGTGATTTTCTCTGTATAGCTTTGCTTTTACCATTTGTCCTAGGGTTCTGTCTGTCCATTTTTGTTTGTTTGTTTGTTTTTTAATTACTTTAAAAAATTGTTTTCTTAATAATTATTTTTAATTTTAAAACTTTATTTTATTTTGTTTTACTTTATTTTATCTTCTTTCTTTCTTTCTTTCTTTCTATCTTTCTTTCTTTTTCTCCCTTTTATTCTGAGCTGTGTGGAGGACAGGCTCTTGGTGCTCCAGCCAGGCATCAGGGCTGTGCCACTGAGGTGGGAGAGCCAAGTTCAGGAAACTGGTCCACAAGAGACCTCCCAGCTCCATGTAATATCAAATGGCGAAAATCTCCCAGAGATCTCCATCTCAGTGCCAAGACCCTGCTCCATTCAACGACCAGCAAGCTACAATACTGGATACCCTATGCAAAACAACTAGCAAGACAGGAACACAACACCATCCATTAGCACAGAGGCTGCCTAAAATCATAATAAGGCCACAGACACCCCAAAACATACCACCAGATGTGCACTTGCCCAACAGAAAAACAAGATCCAGCCTCATCCACCAGAACACAAACATTAGTCCCCTCCACCAGGAAGCCTACACAACCCATTGAACCAACCTTAGCCACTGGCGACAGACACCAAAAACAACAGAAACTACGAACCTGCAGCCTGCGAAAAGGAGACCACAAATACAGTAAGTGAAGCAAAATGAGAAACAGAAACACACAGCAGATGAAGGAGCAAGGCAAAAACCCACCAGACATAAAAAATAAAAAGGAAATAGGCAGTCTACCTGAAAGAGATTTCAGAATAATGAGAGTAAAGATGATCCAAAATCTTGGAAATAGAATGGAGAAAATACATGAAAAGTTTAATAGGAACCTAGAAGAACTAAAGAGCAAACAGTGATGAACAAAACAATAAATGAAATTAAAAATTATCTAGAAGGGATCAATAGCAGAATAACTGAGGCAGAAGAACGGATAAGTGACCTGGAAGATAAAATAGTGGAAATAACTACTGCAGAGCAGAATAAAGAAAAAAGAATGAGAAGAATTTGAGGACAGTCTCAGAGACCTCTGGGATGACAGTCAATGCACCAACATTCGAATTATATGGGTCCCAGAAGAAGAAGAGAAAAAGAAAGGGACTGAGAAAATATTTGAAGAGATTATAGCTGAAAACTTCCCTAATATGGGAAAGGAAATAGTTAATCAAGTCCAAGAAGCAGAGAGAGTCCCATACAGGATAGATTCAAGGAGAAACACACCAAGACATATATTAATCAAACTATCAAAATTTAAATATAAAGAACAAATATTAAAAGCAGCAAGGAAAAAACAACAAGTAACACATAAGGGAATCCCCATAAGGTTAACAGCTGATTTTTCAGCAGAAACTCTGCAAGCCAGAAGGGAGTGTCAGGACATATTTAAAGTGATGAAGGAGAAAAACCTACAACCAAGATTACTCTACCCAGCAAGGATCTCATTCAGATTTGACAGAGAGATTAAAAGCTTTACATGCAAGCAAAAGCTAAGAGAATTCAGCACCACAAAACCAGCTTTACAACAAATGCTAAAGGAACTTCTCTAGGCAGGAAACACAAGAGAAGGAAAAGACCTACAATAATAGCCCCAAAACAATTAAGAAAATGGTAATAGGAACATATATATCGATAATTACCTTAAATGTAAATGGATTAAATTCTCCAACCAAAAGACACAGATTGGCTGAATGGATACAAAAACAAGACCCGTATATATGCTGTCTACAAGAGACCCACTTCAGACCTAGGGACACATACAGACTGAAAGTGAGGGGATGGAAAAAGATATTCCATGCAAATGAAAATCAATAGAAAGCTGGAGTAGCAATTCTCTTATCAGAAAAAATACACTTTAAAACAAATACTATTACAAGAGGCAAAGAAGGACACTACATAATGATCAAGGGATCAATCCAAGAAGAAGATATAACAATTGTAAATATTCATGCACCCAACATAGCAGCACCTCAATACATAAGGCAAATACTAACAGCCATAAAAGGGGAAATCAACAGTAACACAATCATAGTAGGGGACTTTAACACCACACTTTCACCAATGCACAGATCATCCCAAATGAAAATAAATAAGGAAACACAAGCTTTAATGATACATTAAACAAGATGGACTTAATTGATATTTATAGAACATTCCATCCATAAACAACAGAATACACATTCTTGTAAAGTGCTCGTGGAACATTCTCCAGGATAGATCATATCTTGGGTCACAAATCAAGCCTTGGTAAATTTAAGAAAATTGAAATTATATCAAGTATCCTTTCCGAACACAATGCTATGAGACTAGATACCAATTACAGGAAAAAATTAGTAAGAAATACAAACACATGGAAGCTAAACAACACACTACTTAATAACCAAGAGATCACTGAAGAAATCAAAGACGAAATCAAAAAACACCTAGAAACAAATGACAATGAAAACACAATGACCCAAAACCTATGGGATGCAGGAAAAGCAGTTCTAAGAGGGTCGTTTATAGCAACACAATCCTACCTCAAGAAACAAGAAACATCTCAAATAAACAACCTAACCTTACACCTAAAGCAAGTAGAGAAAGAAGAACAAAAATACCAAGAGTTAGCAGAAGGAAAGAAGTCATAAAAATCAGATCAGAAATAAATGAAAAATAAATGAATGAAATGATAGCAAAGATCAATAAAACCAAAAGCTGGTTCTTTGAGAAGATAAACTCAACTGATAAACCATTAGCCAGACTCATCAAGAAAAAAGGGGAGAAGATTAAAATCAGCAGAATTAGAAATGAAAAAGGAAAAGTACCAAATGACACTGCAGAAATACAAAGGATCATGAGAAATTACTACAAGCAACTGTATGCCAATAAAATGGACAACCTGGAAGAAATGGACAAATTCTTAGAAAAACACATCTTCTGAGACTGAACCGGAAAGAAATAGAAAATATAAACAGACCAACCACAAGCACTGAACGTGAAACTGTGATTTAAAATCTTCCAACAAACAAATAGGTGAATTCTATCAAACATTTAGAGAAGAGCTAACACTTATCCTTCTCAAACTCTTCTCAATGGTGAAAAACTGAAACCATTTCCTCTAAGATCAGGAATAAGACAAGTTTGTCCACTCACACCACTATTATTCAACATAGTTTTGGAAGTTTTAGCCACAGCAATCAGAGAAAAAAAGGAATCCAAACCAGAAAAGAAGTAAATCGGTCACTGTTTGTGGATGACATGATACTACACATAGAGAATCGTAAAGATGCTACCAGAAAACTACTAGAGCTAATCAATGAATTTGGTATAGTAGTAGGATACAAAATTAATGCACAGAAATTTCTTGTATCCTTATACACTAAT